ATCGCTTTACCTGGACTGTGAGGCATGTTATACAGGGAATGCTGTAGATGGGAGTCACAAAAGCATAACGATGAAGGTAAGTTATCATCAGATTATTTTAAAAATACCAACACTGTGATCTAGTTTGCAACTGGATACTGTAACATTTTCAAAGCTGAAGAATGGCAAGAATGTGTTTTCATTTTCTTACAGTAGACACAGTCACTCATTTAAAGACTAACTATAAATATCAAGTGCTTCACATGTACCCAGTGTTACTCATTTTATTCCAGAACAACCAGTATGTAGTTATTATCTCCATTTTATAATAGTTAAGGAAACTGAAGCATCAAAAGGTTATCTGATCCAGTGAAACCCAGTTGGGGATTGATTGAAATCAGGATTTCAACTATAGTTTCAACTATAGGTGGGTCACCTAGCTTTATAAGTTCCTTGGGACAAGACTCGTGTTGGAATTCATTATTTTTATAAGTGCGTGCATGCTAAGTTGGTTCAGTCATGTCTAACTCTTTGTGACCCTATGGACTGCAGCCTGCCAGGCTCCTCTGTCTGTGGGATTCTCCAGGCAAGAATACTAGAGTGGGTTGCCATGCCCTCCTCCAGGGGATCTTCTTGACCCAGGGATCAAACCCATGTCTTCTACGTCTCTTGCATTGGCAGGCAAGTCGTTTACCACTAGCACCACTTGAGAAGCCCATTATTTTCAGCATTGCTCCCCCAAGTCTATCATGGTACCTGGTATATCTCAGGCACAATATAATCTTTCCTGATATCATCCAGAGACCCTCTCTTTTTTACCTTCATACGCACAATCGTCTTCTTCATAATCCTAAAATAACCTTGGAGTACTGCTTTACCTTGGGGATCAGCGATGACAACCCTGGCAAGTTTTAGGTGAGTGTTCAGGACACACCAGGGAGAATGTTAGTTTCTTAAGATCCATTAACACATTCGGTCACTGATACAGTCCTATGGAGGAGCTACCTGTCTACAGCTGGGGCTCAGGAAGGTTAAATAACATACCCAGAGCCACATAGTAAGTTGCAGGGCTGAGGTTCCTCCCACCCCCAGAGTCGGGCTGCTCCCAGCACCTACCCCTCACCACCCCTGCTGCACTGTATTCTTGCAGAGGTTCTCCTGCCTTTGAGGCCCCAGTGACGGCTTGCTTCCCCACGGGCCCCCACAGTGGAGGATAGATTTGCTCGGCTTTGGTGGGGCTGTTGTGTGCAGTGACCAGGACACACATTTTGTTAGACATTCGGCCTGAATAAGGGGCTCAGGCCTTGAGTCTGCGGCTGTGGGACAGAGAAAAGCCAACTGACCCAGAAGGGGATTGAACTTGTGACCTAGATTTCAGAGCACCACATTCTAACCACTGGGCTGCAAGACACAGTCCCTCCGGAGGGCTGTTTTCTGAGCATCCTGCGCTGCATCTTAAATCTGGGGCCTTTTCTCCCCCCAGCATCCCCTCCTCATGGCTGGAGATTAAGAAACTGAGGTTCACGCAAGAGCAGAGTGAGAAGAAAATAAATCGTGATTTAAATTCATGCCTCTGGACGCGTAGCTTAGCCCACTGAACCCCTCTCTCTTCATCTCTGCCACCTTCCTTCTGTGATTTATTTCAGGCGATGGCCCTCTGTGTATGTATAAAAATCCCCCTGAATGCGTTCCCCTGAGGGCAGTCAATGCGTCTCTCTGAAGTTTAGCGCCAATGCTGATGTGTTGCAAAGGGATGAAAAAACGTACATTTTCAAGTCTCCCCAAAGCTTCGAGCCAAAAGAAGAAAAAAAAAAGAAAAAAAAAGTTGTCCATTCCCCTTTTTCAGCCCTCGCACTTCAAATGCTAATGCAAAGTGTGTTGTCTTGAGCCGTGAATAGGTCTAAAATGCTCTGGTTTGGAAGTATTTGCATACCGTCTTGAATAGAGAGGCAGCCCGCAGACAGGATTAAGCGCTACACATCAACTCCTCCGAAAGGGAGCTGACAGCACTGCAGAAAATTGAGTGTCGGCAGAAACCTGACTGTAAGGTGAAGGGGGGAATGTCTTCTCCAAATATTCATCCTTTCCTTCTTTCTCCCTCAAAAAAGTTTTAAAGTGAAAAAATACATAGACTGTACAAAGTCCTAGCAAAGGAATTTGCAAAAAAAAAAAAAGAGGGAAAAAATCTTACCCTATCATTTGAAAACCACTTGCATATTTTTAATTGTGCAATTCACCACATGTACACAGTTTTTAAATGACTGGAGTTGTTTTGCATTTTTGGGTGCTCATTTTACATTCTGTAATCACTATTCTTTTAGATGTCTATGTAGCTTTGTAAAATAGTATTTTTATCGGCTCCTTAATCTTCCTTTGTTGTATAGTAAGTTTCTGTTAGTTACAATAAATATCTTCTGTGTTTATAGATTTTTGAGTCTGTTGAGTTACAGCTTTAGAATAAATTCCTTTGTGATTTTTTTTTAGGCCCAAATGGTTATGGATTTTTTAAAATATTTTTCTGCATTTTCTGTTTCTCTTTATAGTTTTATGTGTGGCTTATCATTTGTGAATTACCAACTCAGAATGCTATCAAATGTGTGTGAATTTTCTAGTTTCCATTCAAGTATATAATCTGTATCAATGTTAATTTTTAATGAATGTTTGTTTCTAAAATCTTCTTGTTGTCATTGTTTAGTCACTAAGTCGTGTCCGACTCTTTGCAACCCCATGGACTGCAGCACGCCAAGCCTCCTTGTCCTTCACTATGTCTCAGGGTTTAAACAAATTCATGTCCATTGAGTCAGTGATACTATCCAACCATCTCATCCTTTGCCACTCTCTTCTCCTTTTGCCTTCAATTCTTCTCAGCATCAGGGACTTTTCCAACGAGTCTAACTTCAATATAATTCAACATTTCTAAATATATTTTTACTATTTATTTCATCACTGGCAAAGATTTAAAAATGTTTTAATTTATGTGTTTCCTATTTGTGTTTTCTCATGGATGAACTAACTACCTGTTCTTCACCCATTTTAATGGGTTTGATATGGACCACTTTTATAAACTTAAATGAATCTTTGCCATTTTTAACATGAACATTCAGACGCACTTGAATCATTCTAATCTATTTTATTGTAGTTTTGTTCTTTATTACTGTAAAAGTACTTTCAAATCTTTATATTTCCCAACTAACCAGTTTTTTGGTTTGTGATCCCAATAAATATTTTCTATGGAACAATGAGCTGCCTACAGTCCAAATGTAGGCAGTGGATCAACTTATCCTGAAGCTGAAGGTGGAGGAAGTAGAGAAAATATGAGATAGCTATGAAGAGCTAATTAAATGGAGCACATCTCTAAGTTCAGTATCTGGGATTCTATGACATGCCTGCCCTTCCTTGTCCTCCTGTAAAACAGTAGTCACCAGCCCACTTGTTGATTACAGAGCAGAATGATTTTCACTCCTAGGAAACCCTGCTTTCTAGACAAGAATTGCGCCCATCTTTTTGCTAGCGTAACTTAGTTTGTACAAAAGAAGTTAACCATATAGTATTGCACTAAAGAATTCTTCCTTGCTAGGAGTGAACTGCAGATTAAAGATCCTTCTGCTCTTTAGTGCCTACAAAATGGCTAGCAGCCTGCATGAAAAATGTGTTCAATTTATGACAACCTTTTGCCATTTGAGCTGTAAAGGCAAATGAAGAAAAACACCCAACTCTTAAAAGCATATTAATTAGGCATCTCCCTTCTGGGTCAGGAAGATCCCCTGGAGAAGGGCATAGCAACCCACTCCAGTATTCTTGCCTGGAGAACTTCATGGACAGATGAGCCTTGTGGGCTGCAGTCCATGGCATCGCAGAGTCAGAGATGACTCTGCGACTAGCACAACACTTTTCTCCTTTTGTGAATTTTAGAGTTGAATTTTCTATCAAGAAAGCTTAAATGATACAAGAAATTCATTTTCTTTCTTATGAAAATGACATACACAGTTGCTTTGAAGTAACATTATGCACAACTGAGATACCTATGGGGAGTTTTGAAATCTCTGTCTCAAGAGACCTTTTAAAGCAAGACAGCTACATAAAGGTTTGTTAATGGATAAGTACAACTTTCCCTTAAAAAGATTTAAAAGCTTTCTAAAATCACTATGTTTTGGTTTTCTGTATATTATAAACTTTTTGCCCTTAAATGGCTTTTATTTATTTTGGAAATTTTTCAAAGAGACTTTTGTTTCTTTGTTAGCTTTGAGCCAGGAATGGGTATAAAGGAGATAAAAATGCTGTTTGGGTTTTTTTTTTTTTTAAAGCTCTATCTACCTACTTACCTATCTATTTCTCATTTACACAGTCTATCAGGTATGTGCACATCAGGACATATTCATTGAGCACCTACTGTGTACAGTGTTTACCCCAATGTACTTCAAGTTGCTCTCAAGGAAATAAAAAGATAAATCGCACTAAATGTTAGTATTTACTATATACTAAATTAGTGGTAAAGGCCTTCCCTGGTGGCTCAGATGATAAAAAATCTGCTTGCAATACAGGAGACCCGGGTTTGATCCCTGGATTGGGAAGATGCCCTGAAGGAGAGCATGGCAACCTATTCCATTATTCTTGCCCTGAGAATTCCACGGACAGAGGAGTCTATGGGGTCACAAAGAGTCGGACATGACTGAGTGACTAAGCACACAAATTAGTGGCGGAAGTAAGAGAACCAGATCTGTGCTGCTCGATACGCAGCACACGGGCTGCGGCCAATCCCCGCAAGGTATCTGTACTGGTCTGAGGTGATACGAATACAGGAACCCAGGATATGCACTGAGAAACTTTATGGAAATTTGACAGAGTGATTTTATGCTTATTGAATCTCATGTTTCTGACCTTGTACTATGTATGGCTTTGTTGTTTTAAATTCCTTTATTCTAGTGTTCTTGCCTGGAGGATCCCAGGGACGGCGGAGCCTGGTGGGCTGCCATCTGTGAGGCTGCACAGAGTCGGACACGACTGAAGAGACTTAGCAGCAGCAGCAGCAGTATTTTTTTAAATTATGTTTTTCAAAAATGTAAGTAAATGAATGGTGATTTAAAAAAGAAGCCTGATCTTTTACCCAGAGCAACACGGAGATAGCACATATCTACCTGTCTATATGTATAATTGTATTATATATATAATTATGATATGTGTTAGTTGCTCAGTTGTGTCTGACTCTTTGCAACCCCATGGACTGGAGCCCACCAGATTCCTCTGTCCATGGGATTCTCCAGGCAAGAATACTGGAGTGGGTTGCCATGCCCTTCTCCAATAATTATGATATATCCCTATGTATATTATATATGTCTTTCTATTTGTATTACATATTATATATATCTATCTATATGATATATATTATATATACCTATATATTCTAAATATACCTGTCTATATGGGCTTACCAGGTGGTGCTAGCGGTAAAAAACCTGCCTGCCAATGCAGGAGACACAAGGGATGCAGGTCAATCCCTGGCACCGGAAGATCACTTGGAGAAGGAAATGGCAACCCATTCCAGTCTTCTTGCCTCAGAAATTCCATGGACAAAGGAACCTGGTAGGCTATAGTCCATAGGCACAGAGTCGGGCAAGACTGAAGCAACTTAGCATGCACGAATCAACCTATGTAATTATGTACGTATATATATGGCTAAGCATCCTCTCTGCAATAAAGTAGAGAAATACCCCTTGGAAGTGAGTGCACATGGATTTCCCCTCCTCCTCAGTTATGGTCAGAAAAAGACAGTGCTCAGTTCATTTGACACCCTGCCTCTTCTGTCTCAGAAGAAATCTCCCACCTTTACACGTATAGAGACTGTCATCTCTGAAGTTATTCAGTACCATAATTCAGTCCTAAGGGTTTAGATCCAAAGAATGAAAGTCACATTTCCAGCCAAAACACTAGAATCTTGCAAATATATTAAGGAAAAGAAAACTAGGAGAATGCTAACATAAAAATTTAAAAGATATACTGTCCAAGTTTGTTATATTATTTTTCGAATGTATTTGGATAGAGAAATCCAAATACATAATCCAAAAGGCATATTCCCATTTTCCATATTTGCTTAATAAACTTCCTATAAAGCTAAAGGAAAATGATTAAAAGTTCATACCTTGATAAAATATAAATACATATTATATATTTTACAAATATGTTATTATATATTATAAATATATATTATGCATTATATTGCATAAATCACATTTTATCACATACAGTATATGTGATACATTTATATAACTTATATGTGATATTATATATAAAGTTATATATAGAGAAAAAAACTGTGCTTAAATAAGTTTGGTTAGCTTTGAGTTAAATAAAGTTACTGCTGCTGGACTTCTTAGACTATCTATTAATATTTTCTGAATAAGAGGTCTCTGAATTTTTGTTTTGAACCAAGTCCAAAGATTATATAGCTGGTCTTGCTGGGAAGGTTTAACCGTGAAGGGAACATTTGCACAGGAACATGAAGGACGGAAGAGAGAAGCTGAGGCTATGGAAGAACATTCAGGGCAGAGGGACGAGCAAACACCCAGCACTCGTGGCAGTGTGCCCAGGGCATTCTAGGCACCTCAAGGAAGATGAGACGTGAGCGAGAAAGGAGGAAAAGCAACTGGGATCACAGTGATGCAGATGAGGGAAGAGGAGTGAGGACTAGCATAGGACCCTGAAGGCCATTGTGAAGATTTTCAGCTTTTCTCTGAGAGGCATGGAAGCCCATGAGAAAAAGGGTTTAAGCAAAGGAGTGACATGATCTGACTTACTTTCTGATCACCTTTGCTTCAGCGTTGAGGATAGATTCCAGCAGGAGTGTGAAGGTGGGGAATTGGTGGGGAGAATATTAAGGCTAAAGCAGGAAGCCCAATTAGGAGGCACTGGCCATAACCAAGTAAAAGATGATGGAGGTCCAGACGAAGGTGGTAACAGTGGAAGTGATAAGTGATATGATACTAGATGTTTTCTGAAGGGGCACAAACAATGCATGCAGAAGATTGACTGCAGGATGTCAGAGCGGGTCAACATGACTACAAGAATTTTGGCTTACAAATAGGAAAATGGAATTGCCAATAAATGTGATAGAGAATACTGTGGATGGAATGGGTTTTAGGGAAAAGCTTCCATTTTGGACATGTTAAGTTTGAAAATACAGACTAAACACTAGCATATAAGCATTTAGGACTCAGGGGAGATACTGAGGCTGGAAAACACAAATTGGCAAGTGATCAGTTGATAGACATATTTAAAGTTGGGGGTTGGATGAGATTCCACGGGAGGTGGAACTGATAAAGAAAAGTAGGACACAGGTCTGAGCTTTGGGTCATTCTAAAGTGAAGTGACCAGGGAAATGAGAAAATACTCCCAAAGGAGGCAAATTTTCAAGAATACCAGAAGCTTTTCAGTCATCATCATCCTCTTTTGATACTCCTAATATTACTACATAATATTTACCTTATAAGGATTCCATAACAGTATATTTAGAACAATTGCTGACCCAGAGTAAGCATCAATAAATTATAGCTATTTATTGCTTATATTTAAAAATTGCTCTCCTAAAAAATCTCTCCAGTGAGGAAATAGGTTCAGTAACTTCTGTTGTTGTTGTTCAATCACAAAGTGTCCAGCTCTTTGCGACCCTGTGGACTGCATGCAGCATGCCAGGCTTCCCTGTCCTTCACCATCTCCCTGAGTTTGCTCAAACTCATGTTCATTGAGTCAGTGATGCCATCCAACCATCTCATCCTCTGTCATCTCCTTCTCCTCCTGCCTTCAATCTTTCCCAGTATCAGGGTCTTTTCCACTGAGTTAGCTCTTTGCATCAGATGGTCAAAGTATTGGAGTTTCAGCTTCAGCATCAGACCTTCCAATGAATATTCAGGGTTGATTTCCTTTAGGATTGACTGGTTTAACCTCCTTCCTGTCCAAGGGACTCTCAAGAGTCTTCTCCAGCACCACAATTCAAAAACATCAATTCTTCAGCATTCAGCCTTCTTGATGGTCCAACTCTCACATCCATACATGACTACTAGAAAACCATAGCTTTGACTAGACAGACTTTTGTTGGCAAACTGATGTCTCTGTTTTTTAATATGCTGTGTAGATTTGGCATGGCTTTTCTTCCAAGGAGCAAACATCTTTTAATTTCATTGCTGCAGTCACTGCCTGCAATGATTTTGGAGCCCAAGACAATAAAATCTGTCACTGTTTCTACTTTTTCCCCATCTATTTGTCATGAAGTGATGGGACTGGATACCATGATCTTAGTATTTTGAATGTTGAATTTAAGCCAGCTTTTTCACTCTCCTCTTTCACCCTCATCAAGAGGCTCTTTAGTTCCCCTTCACTGTCTACTATAGAGTGGTTATCATCTGCATATCTGAGATTGTTGATATTTTTCCTGGCAATCTTGATTCCATGCTTGTGAGTCATCAGTAACTTCTAGAAGTTCCTATAGCTAATAACTGACAGAAGCAGGGTCACATCCAAGTTATTTTTTCTCCAAATTGCTGTGCTTTTATCACTACTTGTGCTATATGACTTAGTTTCCAGATATTTTACATAAACCAACCAGGAAATAAAAGTAAAATCAATAACCACCAAACACTTCTTGAGATTAAAGTTCAAGAAACAGGTTGGAACAGAAATAGAAACTGTTATAATGTATTGAGCACTTAACATATGATAAGCATTGTGTTATCCTGTTTAACACTCATGACAGTCCTATGAAAGAGGAAATAATATGACCCTTTTTTTGTTTGTTTTACAAATAAAGAGTGTGAATCTTGGAGCAGTTAAACAAGTGTTTCTAGAGATGTCTGCATGCTACCTCAGGTATACAGTTTCAGTTTGGGATCTTGGTCAATATCAGTATTGACAGTATTTACCAGTTCACCTGGGGACATGGTCTAGTGGCCAAAACTTTTTTTTTCAGGAGTGCCTCTTTACTTCTTTGCTTTCTGTTTTATAAGGTGTGGTTGACAAGTAAACATTGTAAGTATTTGAGGTGTACATTGTGATGTTTTGATATAAGGAAGGTACACCTGCTTAGAGGAAGGTGAAATTCTATCAAGAATTTTCTCTGGAAATTTTCTTCTTTCTTACCTTCCTCTCTTCTTTCTTCCTTTGCTTCTTCCTTCATTTCTCCATTCTTTTCTTTTTCCATCCCTCCCACCCCCTCCTCCCTTCCTTCTTTCCTTTCTTCCTTCCTTTCTCTCTTGCAGAAAGATGACCTGAATTCAGATCCAAAGCAACTTTGAACAGGGTTATTAAGAACTGCAAGATGACTCACCCCAGGGTTTACACAAGCAAACAGAAATATTACTAACTCCACCAGATGTAGCAGATGATGAATTTTCTGGTGTTCTTTTGTTTAGTCAACTTTCAGTGTGAATTATGCAAAAAGCCTTCACCTCCATGTCCCTGTATACCTCTGTTAAAATCCCCCCCTTTTTTTTTTGCATACACACTCAAACACTTGGTTGTGTCCAACTCTTCACCACCCCATGGATTATAGCCTGCCAGGCTCCTCTACCCATGGGATTCTCCAGGCAAGAATACTGGAGTGGGTTGCCATTTCCTTCTCCAGGGTATCTTCCTGACCCAGGGATCGAACCTGATTCTCCTCCATTGCAGGCAGATTCTTTTACCGCTAAGCCACCAGGGAAGCCCTCCGACATTATTTTGAAACATCTGTTTGCCTAATCTGTGTTACACTACATGCACCTCAAGGGTTGGGACTAGGCCTTTCAACAATTGATTGAAAGAACTTGGCTTTGTTGCTCACCAACTGTATGACCATAGACAGATTGTTTAACCTCCCTGGACCTGTTCCCACATCTGTGAAACAGAGATAACAAAATCTCTTCCTTGGATTATTAGGAGAATTAAATATGCAGCACTTAGTCCATGTTGTATATGATGCTGTTCCCTCTTCCTGGAAATGATTCCCCAGATATCTGCAAGGTTAATTGCCTATTTCCCTCAAGAATCTGCTTGGATGCTACCTTTTCAATGAATATCCTATTTCCCTGACTG